TCTACAGCTAAGATGGTGAACAACAGCTCAACCTGCAGCTGGGCTGCCGTGAGTCGCCGGTGACGGCGCAGGCTGCAGTGAAGCTGCAGTGGGCTGCCGTAAGCTACCGTGAGTGGCTGGTAGCCGGTGTGAGCTTTCGCGAGCTGCTGTGAGCGGCCATCCTGTGGCCAGCGGCTGATCAACCTCACCCAGGAAGATTGCAATGATAATACCAACATGGGCCAGTGAAGCAACGTCCTCCACAACTAGACTGAAGAGCAAAAGGACAGCAACTTGTCTGTTCCCCTTCCCTAATTCCCCAATAAAATCTTTTTTTTAAAAAAAAGAAAAAGAAAATCTCTAGGATCCAAAAAAGAGAAAGGCAGAATCAATCCTGAAGAGATTGTATCAAAGACCACTTAGTAGTGGCATTTAGTTCCTTCCCCTTTAATATTACAACTAGTTTTCTTATCCTTTACTAATACTAGTTGTAGTATTAAAGGGGTAGGAAATATACAACTTTACCACAGATACTGAAGTCATTAAAATTGTTAAAGAGTTTTACTTTCCTTCGTTCGGTCATCAATTCAAACGGAAACTGCAGCTAAGAAATGAAGAAGGCAGAGACTCGGAAAGACAGCAATGGAAAAATTCGGAAAGATCACCAAGAGCAAAGATACATCATTAGAGAGGAAGACTAAGATCATACACACACCCTCATATCCCAACTACTACATACAGATGTGAAAGTTGGACAATGCAGAAGGCTACAGGGAAAAAAAAAAGTTCATTTGAAATACGGTGTTGGAGGTGAGCTCTACGATTACCCTGAACCACGAGGAAGATGAACAAGTGGATCCCAGAGCAAATTAAGCCTGAACCATCGCGGGAGGCAAAAATGGCAAAACGGAAGATGTCTTACTTCAGGCACATCATGAGAAGGTAGCATTCTTTGTAAAAGACAATAATGCTGGCAAAAATAAAAGGCAGCAGGAAAAGAGGAAGACCAAATACGTAATGGAATCACTCCATAAAAGAAGCCACAGGCAGGAGTTTAAGGAGCTGAGCAGGGCTGTTGAGGACAGGACATGGTGGATGTCACTCATTCACAGGGTCGCCAGGAGTCAGAGCCATCTCAATGGCACATAACACACATTACTACCCTTGTCATTGAATATTAAGATGTACCAGAATATTCTAGTAGTGGTAGGGACTCATGCTGAACCTTTCATATAATCACAAAGGGAATTATAAAAAGTGGTACTAGATTTACTAACATTGCCACTGTTGCAGCAGATAGCTGCATTAGAAGAACTGCCCCTGACTTTTCTGCACCTAGCTCAGGTGATGGGTGTGACAGCAGCATTAAGACTCAGGAGCCTAGCTATTTATTCCCTATACTCCAAAATGGGTTTGTACCCGATAAACTTCCAGCAAATTACAATGACTTCCTTAAGTCTCTGCTCTTTCACAAGGTTCTTGCAACCAACAGCACAATTCTCATGCAGAAAGCCAGATGTGCTCGAGTTAGACAAGTGTCGCCTAATAGCTTATACAGGGCCTGTCTCCATAATCTTGATCCCCTTAGCATTACACCCTAATTTTGTACTTGTACTTCATAAGTGGTATGCCAGGACATATCAGTCCAGGTGTTTTGACAAGCAAGTTCCCCAAAACTCTGACTCTAGTTCACCCTACTGGGAGGTGAGTGGCTTCAACTGTCTTGCCACAGCTCAAAGGATCCAAGTTCCACTCTGCAGTTGCCCATCTACCAGGACTACAATCTATGAGGAAATTACCACAACCTGCCTCAATTAACCTGAGAGCCTCCCTCGGAGTCACAACTGCTAATAAAATCAGTCATGAATATTATTTGTTGCTGCCACCTCCTATAAATATTGATCTCCTGATCAATCAAAACTCAGGAGATCATGCATCTGTAACTGGTGTCAGTCAGAGCTCACCTGGCTGAACTCAATGCCTGGGTGCTATCTTCATCCTTCACTGCACCACTAGAGACCTCCCAAAGCTTCCAGCTTAGTCATCTTTCCCAGAAAGAGGAGGGCTACTCTGCCATCGAAGGTAGCTGTACTTCATTGCTGGAACTTCCAAACACTTAAGAAATTCATAAGAGTGCCCAAAAGACTTAAAACCATTGCTCTAGTAGAGCCAGCTGATTATGAGTAGAAATATATCTGAGGAATTTTAGACCAGCTATTAACAGCCTAAAGAGAGAAAGGCTTAGAAAAAAATCCCTTATTTATGCAATAACCTAAAAATGCATAATTTTGTTGAATCTTCACATCAACTATATCATATAGGTAGGGTAGGTTATTTTTGCTCCTCGGGGAATAGTTTTCCCCATTTCCACACATCACAGATTCTACTGCAGGGTGACAACCCAACAACTTTTAATTCCATTTTGCATATAGCAAATATTTAGTACAAATGACACTAGTTTACATTTATTAATCGCTTTACACTTTTCTAAGTGCTTTGCCAAACATGTTATAGTGATATTCAAAATCCAGAGATGTAAGCAGAGAAAATATTATTCTCATTTTCCAATCCAGAAATGGAGAGAAGGTAAGTAAATTGTAAATCAGGCCTGTCATTTAAATGCTGTATGACTATCAGAAATATGCACCATCTTTCTGCTTATAGTCAGTCTACATCCACATGGTTAAATGTGTTACAATCAACCAGAGAAGAAATTATATGTGTATATGTTGAGCAGCTACTGTGTGACCAGAACAGTGTTTGGCACATAGTAGACATTCAGTAAATGTTTGCTGGGGATAAAAGCAGTGTCTATCTCATAAGGGTTATTAGGAAGATTAAACGAATCACATGCTTAGAATGGTTATGTCTTAGCAATCACTCAATATTTGCCATTGCTATTTTTAAAAAAAAAGAAAGGAAAGAACCACATGGGTATTCTAGACTGAGGGAGTAGCATCTGTAAAAGGCCTTGGAGCAAAAGTACATATTTCATGAATATGGCTGAAACATGGAGAGCAGTATGCCATGAAGCTGGAGAGTTAGGGCCAGATGAGGCAGGGACCCACAGTCCATATTAGTGATTGAGGACCCTTTTAAACTGGGAACAACGGAAAACCATTAAACAATTTTTTTCAGAAGAGAAGCATGATTAGATCTTTTTAAAAGAACATTTTGACAGCAGGGAGAGAATGGATTAGAGAGATCAAAGGTGTTCAAGGAGACATGTAAGGGTTATTTCGACAGTCCTACCAAAAGACAGAAGCTGGTAATTTAGGCTAGGTTGGTTGGAGTGGAGAAGGAGGGAAGTGAATTAATTTAATAAATATTTATGAGGTAAAAGCAACAAGACTTGTCAACTGGCCTTTCTGACTATTAGATGGAGAGGGTGAGGTATGGGAAGAAGCAAGACTACCAGGTTTTTTACCACAGCACCTGGAGAAGGAGTAAGCTGGGGGGAAGATACGTTGCCTTGGACATGCAAAGATGAGGTGCATGTATGGAATCCACGTGCAGATACATAGCAGGCAGCGAGATACATTGGGTTGTCGGAAAAGTCATGATGTATTTTTTTCTCTGTTTTTAGTTGCAAAAATGCATCATGACTTTTCCGACAACCCAATATATACAGTTCCGGGGGAGGTCCGGCTAGAGACAAGATCTGAAAGAAAGACTGACTTGAGAGGAGATGTGTGTGTGTGTGAGAGAGAGAGAGAGAGAGAGAGAGAGAGAGAGAGAGAGAGAGAGAGAGAGCGCGCAAGCGCGCGCACGGAAAAAGACAGCAAGGTGAATGACATACGACAGAGCCTTGAAGTACAACTTTTTGGGTGAAGAGTAGGCATGAGACTGATTGAGATCTGACAGCTTCTTTTCTCAATTTCTGTGTGAAAAATCTGATACTTGAACCATCTGGCTATATAGGATTGTAGTAATTCATTGTTCTCTGCAGCCCCTCTTGCAAACCTAAAAAATCATTCTAGTAAGTTCCATGTCTAAACCAATCCCAAAGGAAATGAAAAATCACCCTGCACACACTGACTCAAGGGGGTATTTAAGGATTCTTCACCAGAAGAAAACCTGGTGCTGACAATCTATGTTTTCATTCTATCTTCTTACTGGAAGCATCAAAAACATTTACACTTTCAGGTAAATTGAAATAGCTGCACAAAATAAGGATTTTTCTATATTTAAGTCTAATAAAACAAATTATCTCACACAAATTACTGTATTTTTTTTATGGTTACGATCTGTATCCATTTTATTTTAAAAACATTTGCTCCTCCACTAAGCGCACAGCAGAATCTCAAATGCCACTAAAAACAATGAGCAGGCAAGTTTAGGAAAAGGTTCCTTCTATGTCCCTGGGGGCATGGTACTGTTTCCCCTGAACCCCTTCACTGGAGGAAAAAGGGTTGGTTGGTTCTGTCCCTAAACCCTGCCACTCAATGCGCTCAGTCCTCACACTGACGCCGCTGTTTCGGAGGAATGTCCTCCTGAGCAAGCAAGGAACGCGTCGAACAGCCCGGGACCTTGAGAAGGCAGCCCGCTGGTTCCAAAACCCGATAGAGGGTCTGGACCCTCATTTCTCCAATCCTTGATACACCACCAACCTGCTGACTCTCACCTCCCCGAGCAGACGCCGCAATGTCAAGCTGGGCTCCGACTGACACTGTGAGGAGGGAAAGAACGCCAAACCGCCCCCACCAGGATAGAGGGCCAGGCGGGCGCGTGGCAACCCCGGTCGCCTTTCGTGCCCCGGTGTTCTGCCATCCAAAACCTCACGCGCGGGGTTTCGGGGACCATGGCGCGAGGGGAACCCGGGACGCATGCGTCTTTTTTCGCGCGTGCGCGCGCCACGTCCCCTCCCCACTGAGCGCGCGTGCCTTCCTCGCTCAGACAGGTCTCGCTGGGTCTCTTAGAGCCGGTGACCCCCCCCAGAACTTCTGCCAGGGCCATCGTCTTGGCCACGGCTCCGTAGCCCAACAAATTACTGCATCTTAAAAAATGTAAAATAAATGGGGAAATCATTTTTAATGGGTTTAGCCTTTGAGTTTTACAAGATGAAAAAGTTCTGGAGATGGGTTTCGGAACACCATAAATATACTTAACACTACCGAACTGTGTACCCTTAAAAACGGTTAAGATGGTATATTTTATGTTTTTATCACAATTTTAAAATAAAGAATAAGTAGTAATATAAATAATTACACCACTAAAGTTATCAAAATAATATGGCCCTCAGCTCCAAGAAAAGGGAAAGGGCTTAACAGTGGCTTGGAAGAACTGGTTAAAGGATAACATACTGTGAGCGTTCCATCACATTTCCAGTGAAAGTATTGTATTTCTGCCCTGAAAAACAACATTTAGTATGCTGTAGTCTCTATTTGAAAGTGACAATAGGAGGCACCAATGTTGTTTAATGAAGTGAAATGCCTAAAGGTAGTTAGTTCCTGGAGAGCTACGGCTCTGTGAAGCGATAGCATTTCTTCAGCCTCCCGGAGCTTCATTTGATCAGAGGAAACTGCCTCACCTCCCTAATTATCCAGAAACTAAAGAGGTACAGCCCTATAATCCGAGATTCCCCTTGTAAACATGTACACGTCTCCCTGTTCAATCCATCCAAAGTTAGTTTGGGGGACAAAACCCACGGCCACTTGTGATGCTAAGCGATTTTATCTCTAGAGCCCGGGACGATCAGTGCCTACCACTTTTGGCAAGGACACCTTTATCTTCTACCTTGTTATCCATCTGTCCTTCCTCCCCAAGGACATGTAAGTTTCTGGAGCAGAAGGGATCTGGATCTGAATCCGGTTCCTCTTGGCAACCACCACACAGCCTAACACGGTGTCTGGTTTGCGTACGTGCCCAGTCAATGACAAAGAATCCTGAAAGAAGTTCTTCCTCTGGCTTTCCACTGACCCACTCACTCCCTTGCCACTTGAAGACAACAGTTCTGGGCAGCGGGGAAGAAACAAAGAAGGATGCTAGAAAACTGGCTGCCCACCTAACGACTCAAAAAAATAAGGGGTGGGGGGATGTGAATCGTCCCATCACAAGAGAGTTTAAACCACTGAGAGGAGAATAAAAGGGAAATGGCCATTTCTGGGGCGGCACATTAAAGGATCAATCAGACAAGCTCTGAGGCTCACAAACCAGCGAGGAAGACAGACCCTGACAGGCACGATGACAACGCTCGAGAGGATCTCGGGTCTCCAAGGCAAGGGGGTGCAGCTGCTTAACAGCAGCCCCTCGGCCCTACAGACACCACCCCGCCACCCTCGCTAGCTCCTGCACTCACTCTTGTCCAGAGGACGGGTTAGCTCGGCCCCGACGTCGCCATCCGCGCTAGGGCCCTGAGGTTTCACAGTCAGCGGCACGAACAACGACGTGTTCGGGGCTTTAGAACCCCCAGAGGCAGAGGAGGAGGAGGAGGTGGCAACAGCAGGAACGCGCCCCAGAGCCCCAGGAAAGAGCCCAACGTGGGCGCGAAGGGCAGAGCAGACAGCTGCCGGGTGGCCAGCGTGGCGCCCCACCGGGAGCCGAGCCCACAACAGGGCACAACGAGGGAAGGACATCGAGGCCACAGGCCCTAAAAGAGACTGGCTGAAGCAGCGCAGGGACACGGCGGTGAACAGTGACGCACACCGCCAGCGCCGACTGCTCGGAAAGACCCAGAGAGAGCAGGAAAGTCGCCCAGGAAAAAACCCGACCAATAAGGAAAAAGTAATTCCGTAACATTGCTCATAAAAGGAAGGGAAAGCTTAGGAATGAAAACTGGAAAAGATAAGTTCTTGTTCTCGCTCTTCCATTAGAAATTGGGGCCAGCTTTCTCTAAAGAAAAGAAAATAATCAGGCACTTTTGGAGATGTCACAGATGAGAGAAGGGGGCCTGCGAGCTGTGTCACGTGACGCAAGCTGGCGCGGTCAGTAGCACGTGGGCAGCGCGGTGAGTTCAACAGACGCGATTGATGTACAAGCAACTGGTCTGTGATCACCAGCTTGGCTTCTGGAATCGAGCGCTAATGAGCATTTCCCAAAAGTTTCCTGAATTATTAACTTTCGTTTTCTGATAGAGTATCATTAGCATAATTTGATATGTCCTACAGGAAGGTTGCCAAGGAATTTTGTTGTACAGTTTCTTAAGGAAAACCTTTTGTGTGTTAAGTACTTGTACTTTAAAGTGAGCAGTTTGTGTGCATCATCCTAGCAGCCAGTATGTCACAACCACATAGCAAAAATATGTCTTCTGTACCTCCGCTAACGTTAGTTTCATTTGCATTGGTTCTATACATATCAGATTGCAATATTACAAAATATGCTGTTAGATCTACCAGCCGTTTCTTTCATTATACTTAAAACATTGATTTTGTAACTTAAAGAAATGTACATGTAATATGCAATATTATGTGTCATATAGGATTCCAATAACAATCTGCTTTGTGCCTTTTATTCACAGAATACTTTTTAAACACCTGGGATACAAGTAGAGGGCCCCTTGCCCTCAAAGAGTTTCTGATCTGGTTTTGATGAAAGGAAGTGTACACGTTAAATAATGCAAATACTTACTACTGTTAGACTAATGAGAGTTTAAAAATGAGCACTTTCAGAGCTAAGGAGATTTCGGCCAGACTGAAAAGCAAACAAAACAAGGCAAATAGAGAAAAGGTAAGGAAATTACAGTCAGAAGAAATTATGTAAACAGAGGCTTAACTACGGAAAAGGCATGTCGAAATAATTTAAATACCAGAGTTCAGGTAGGCCTCATCCTATGTTTTGTAGATAGTTGTCGCGTCCTGGGTGGCAAGAGCTGTGGGATGCCAAGAGGGGCGGCGAAGGATTGAGAAAGACAAGAGCCAAGTGTTGAGTTCAAGCGGGCCCAGATAATGTCTGTCAAGAACGCTTTTTGCTTTAATATCCCGTGGTTCTAAGAGAAAATTTTAAAAATTCACTTAGGATAAACAATACAGTATCTAGATGATAACCTTACATGGGAAAAATACAAGAAACTTCAAATTACAGAATTTGGTAGGCAAGATGTGAGGAGAAATTTGCAAGGATGTGCTTTTGGGAAACGTAGACCAGGTTTTGTTAATAGCAAAGG